CGATCACGCCATCCCGGATATCAGCCTCCAGATCTACCCCGATAGCCACCTTACGGTTCGGGGTGAAGTCGAGGTCGATTTGTTCAAGAAGGGTGGCGGGCTCCGGGTGTGCCTCGAACTTCGTTCGGTGGGTTTCCACCTCAATTGTATTCACCCGCATCCCACGAGTGTTCATCTGTTTCAGGGCCTCCCGATAACATGTCTGGGCTGTTGTTGGGTCAGTTCTGGCCACCCCTACCCCAGTGTCTGTAGGGAATTTGATGCATGAGTGGCGGACAGAGGCTATTGCCTCCAGATCTTCCAATCCCGGTCGGTCCAATATGGCATTGTGGGCGCACTTTATATCTACCACCACGAACGTCATTCGGAGTGACGCTCTGTGGGTTTCGTCCCCAATTTCAACCATTAATTGGATGGTCCCTTCAGCCTCGATGCAATTACCGGTAAAACTTGTCAGTGGAGTCCGTAGGTGGGTGAGTTGGCTTCTTTTTAGACCCATTTTCTCGAATGATTGTAGATACCATACATTCACACTGCTCCCGGTATCGACCAGCACTCGGCGGATTAAAGCATTGTCAATACACATGCTTACCACCAGTTCGTCCCTGTGTGGGCTTGGAGAGTTAGGTAGATCAGCTGGCCCGAACGTGATCGGGTCTGTCCTTCCTTTCTTCTGAGGGGGGGTGGAGACGGATCCCACATAAAGACTTCGCTCGAACCTTTTCCGTTCGGCGTTCGAATCTCCGGTCTCCCCGCCCCCGAATATAACCTTGACCTCCATTCGAGGCTTCTTTCCAGGGCCTCCCGAGCCTTCTGGCTCATCTCTGGGAGGAACATACACATCATTTTGAGGCTGGGCGTCACGTTGAGCATCCCGGCGCCAGCTATTAGGTTTCCTGGCCGGTTTCAATGTGCCCATAGCATTCAGATCTTTGTTCACATATTTGCCCAGATGGCCCCTTCGGATCAGATCCTCAATTGCTGTTTGTAGGGCCCTGCAGGCATTGGTGGCATGACCCTTTCTGTTGTGATATTTACAGAAAGCATTGTCATCCGTTCCCATGAACTGTCCAGAATCAGTCGGGATAGGAATATTGTCCCTCTCGTGATGATAGATGGTCGTTATTGATAGGAACAGGGGTGTAAATCTCCCTTGTTTGGGAGGTAAAGCGGCCGCTGTGCTAGGACCCAGCCGATCGGCCATTCTGATCGGGGTAGGAGGCGTAATGACCTTATCCCTGATCATTATCTCCTCTTCTAGGGCGGCATGCTTGCGGGCCCTATCTAATACCTCGGCGTACACTGTACCCGGATTTTTCTTCAATTCTTTGTACAACTCCCCCATTCGGAGAGCATTTGTGAACAGGGTAATGGCGGTATCATCCGTCATGTTTCCCACTGTTAAAGTCTCATCCCTCCACCTTTTCAAGAACTGGTTGAGGGTCTCTTTGGCGTTTTGCTTCACGCTGGTTAAATAGTTGAAGTGTCGTTTGGGATTGGCACTGGAAGCAAACTGAGCCAAGAATAACGCTGATAACTCGGCAAAGCTGTTGATTGACCCGGGTTGCAGTGTCCCGAACCATTCCTGGGCAGGCCCCCTGAGCGTGCTGAAAAACAAACGACAAATGGCGGCCTCGGGTGCTCCTAGCACCATAAGCCCCCCTTGGTAACTCCTCAGATGTACGTGGGGATCTCCCACCCCTTCGTAAATTTGGCCGGTCGGGGGCTTGGCACCCCCTTGGATATCCGCGTACATGAGCTCCCGAGTGAACGGGGAAGTAATTCCCAGTTGAACTGGTGCAGGTTGTACAGGTACCCTGTTCATCTGGTCCCGCATTTCATTCATTTGCCTCCTCATCTCGGCCATCTCTTCCTCCTGGGCCGTCAAAGGGGGCGGTGGTGGAACCCTCATATCCGTACAGTCCCGGTCCCAATGCCGCTGAGGGGCCCTAGTATTTTCCCGCTCGGCATACTGGAAATGATGACCGACGGGAGTTGGTCCTCTAGCTTTTGACCCGACCGGGGTTCGGTCACTGGAACTGGGATGCGCTGCTGGTGGGGTGCTACGTCGATTATCCCGATGGGCATGCGAACGGGATGACGCTGTGGTTGTTTCCGCGCGTGGAGTTTCTCCTGTAAAGCTGGAACCTCCTTCCTCTTCATTCGCCATATGCTGCATGAATTGGGCCATGTCACGCATGGCCTGAGGATTCCTTCTCAGAGATTCGGGAATCACAAAATCCCCATTAAAACGAGGATACGATCCTCGACTGGATTGTCCCTGAGGGTTTTGACTCCCCGGGGTGTGACTCCTCCCGTGACGGTGTGAACCGCCGTTTGTATGATAGGAACTGATTCTGACCATTTTTGAAAAATAGAGGTTTTTTGGATGCTTAGAAAGTGAAACTTTTTGCAAGTTTCCCACAGACGGCGCCAATGTTGAGGGTAAATCCCGTAGATCCGAAAGCCCAACACGAACTTTGGATATATCAGGAATGGCCCAGAATCAAAGCGTATAAGAAAATATAAGATCTGAATTAACTAAAACTCGAAAGCTCACTTGTATTAATTAACCAATCTGATTACAAGGAAATTCCCGATCGGTATGTCGGAAACTATGCTTTAATACAAGAAGTAAGGGCAAATGATGCTATTCTAGAGCTTGATTATTGAAATGCTAACCCTTACAATGACTTGAAACCTTCTATTTATACTAATGGAGAGCATGGACTGTCTCATGCTGATTGGCCGTTGTTCCACCGACTTGGTCATCCATGCTTCCACTTGCTGATGTCACAGTCTGACATTAATTGCACCTGGTCACTTGCTGGTTGGCCGTTGCTCGAACGGGATGTTGGGCTGTACTGAAGATGCTGTCAAATTGGCCCAAGTATGGTATATAGCCCGAACCTCGTTCGGTATGTCTTCTTACCGGGCCAACCTTTATTTGGGCCGAACTCCGTTCGGTATGTCTTCTTACTGGATCTATTCATCATAGAGTGATGGGCCCGTCGCTTGGGCCGGGTATCTTGGGCCTTCCCGATCTGGGTATTGGGCCTCTAGGTCAATATCCCAACAATTACCTTCTCATTTACCCTAAAAACATAAAATGCTTCGACATCTCACTTCGAATCTCTTTGCCACAGGCCTCATGGTCTGCCTTTTTCATATCTTCCCCTTACTCGTTTCTTCTGATTCAATGTAAAATTATTAACACTTCCATTATTAACACTTCATTCATTTGACTCTCCCAAACAAGGTAAAATTATGTCTGACACTTACACTTCCCTTCCCTTTTGGGTCTTTACTAACACTTTTTTTTATGAATCGTTAATATATATATATATATATATATATATATATATATATATATATATATATATATATATATATATATATATATATATATATATCACCCAAAGTAAAGGATACAAAATTTAAAGCTCCCCCACCCCCTCCTGTCAAGATAGGAAAGGGTTGGAAGAAGCTTTCAATCAAGATGAACATCACAAAAGGTAGCCATAGGGCTCAGCATGCCGCGGCTCAAAACATCAAAAAACAGAATAGAGATGCGGCTAGGTGCACGCACTCAAACACTTTGGAACTATATACCGAGGCTCCCAAAACAATCCATAGTAGCCTTATCAGAAAGTGACCAAATCATGTGGGTATATGCCGTAGAGCACCTTATATACCACATGTTTGATCTTGACAATAACCTCTTCCTCCGTTTTCTTCTTATCATCAAATCTGCACTCATTCCTAGCGTGCCAAATGTAGTACATAGTTGCACAAAAAGCAGTGCGGACAGCTTTCGCTTCCAGCGTCGAACCTCTATAAGTCTTCATGATCAATTTGATCGAACTCAGCAAGGTAGACATCTCATGCCTTAGCCCCAACCAGCTCCTAATGTGATGCCACACCCTACAAGTAAATGGGCATAGAAAGAAAAGGTGTGGTATTGTTTCCAAACTACCCTTGCAAAGATCACACCGATTCACAATATAAAGATAACCGAGGCTATCTTGTGTAGGTAGTCAGTTTCTCAAGACCAACCACGCATTAAATGAGAGTTTGGGGGATGTAGGATTTCCATATGAAACTCACAGGAGTCCTTACTTCACCCTTGACTCTTAACAAGTCGTACATTTTAGCGGAGACTAATTTACCATTAGTGGCTCTAGAAGCAAGACCCATAATAATATCATTGAGGTTATTAAAACAACTTCGGATTTTATCTCGAATGAGACTCAACCGCTTCATGAGCTGTGAGTCCTGGGCGTGTGGGATGAAATCCCACTCGGTTCTACCTTGAAGGTATACCCCGTTCACCCATTTTACCCAAAGAGTGTCCTTCTTCATATGGACATCCCACAAAGTACTACGTACTACATTATGAATGTCAAGTCCTCCTTCCTCTTTTGGGAGACAAATGTCTTCCCAAGCTACTAACACTTGGGAAATGTCTACCTCGAAGGTATACCCCTTTCATCCATTTTACCCAAAAAGGATCCTCACTAACACTTACCAACACTCCCTAAAGGAGTAACGCGGTTTTTTGAAGTAGGTCCAAACTAGGGGTGTTCGTCGGTTCGGTTTGGTCGGTTTTCGGTTCGGTCGGTTCGGTTTGGTCGGTTTGGTCGGTTTCGGTTTTTGAAAAGGTGAAACCGAAAACCGAACTGCAGTACTTGAGTCGGTTTCGGCTCGGTTTCGGTTCGGTTATTTGCGGTCGGTTTGGTCGGTTTCGGTCGGTTTTAGCATGTTTTTTGTCGGTTTTGTCGGTCGGTTTCGGTTCGGTCGGTTTTTTAACCCAAAAGGTGAAACCGCAAACCGAACCATCAATGATTAGTCGGTTTGAGTCAGTTTCGGTTTGAGTCGGTTTCGGTTTTGATCGGTTCAGTTTCGGTCGGTTTGTCGGTCGGTTTCGGTTTTTGATTTTTTTGTTCACCCCTAGTCCAAACACCTTAACCAAAAAACATCAAGCAGGCGAGCAGCAGAAGGAAAACCAAGGAAAAGAGCACCTAGCAAACAAAACATAAACATAACGAAGACGGAAGAAAACAAAAACAGAGCAAGCGCAGTGACAGATAGAGAAGTAGAAGAGAAAGAATAGAGCGGTGACGGAAAAAAAGAAGAAGATGAGAGAATAACGAGAGAAGGAAGAGGAGCAGAGGAAGAATAAGAAGAAGGGATCTGCAACATCTTCTCCGACGCCGCCCTGTACCTCGCCCTCGCCGTCCATCTTCTCTTTTGTCGTCAGCGCAGGCCATCCACCGCCGCGCGACTTCCGCGTTCCGCCTCCGTTGTTCAGGCAAAGAGCAGCTCCCACAGTACGAAAGAAAATCATTCCTGAGTTTGTCGAGGAAACACCTAAACATATGTCCTATTTAGGTAAGTTTTACTCCTATTTGGAACCATTTCTCTATGTGTGAAGGTAGTATATTACCAATGATCTCTTTTGTTTCCCCAAGGCAGTGTTTGTAAACTTTTTGGACATGATGTAGGAAATTGAATTAGTCAGGTTATCTAGAAAGCTACAACAAGGATGCTTACCCTCCTCCAGGCTGCACACATCCCCCAGCTTCCCTGTATCAATGGCTTCAATGCCTCGCTTCACCATAGCAGACACAGCAAACTAATACCTTCGGTTGCTTGGAAGCATGGTGTGTCCACTAACATCTTTTCTCTCTGCATATCTCTTCTTCTTTACTCTATCCGAGTAGCAATTTAAACCTTGTGCCATTAGTACTGCGATGTGTTGATCAGATTTGTGAAGTCTGGGATTTTAATTTTCACTCCGATTGACTGATGGTCAAGTGGTCTATATTCTACATGCTTGCTTCTACCGAGTTCTACAAAGGGGGAATTTGACTTTTCACCCCACTTTTTGGGTGATATTGGACATTGCACCCCATTTCAAAAAAAACTTTGATTTTGCACCCTATTTCACTTAAAAATCCTTTGACTTTGCACCCCAATGAGATTTTTTTCTTCACAAAATGTTATGTGTTGGGGTGTAAAATCAAAGTTTTTTCAAAATGGAGTGCAAATTCCAATATCACCCAAAAAGTAGGGTGCAAAGTCAAATTCCCCCTTCTACAAACTGCAAAGTTGGCTTAAGGTTTTGGCTTTATTTCGTGCAATGCATGTTTTTAAGAAAATGAAAATTGTGGGATATTGGGGTGGTATATGATTTAGGGATGAACTAAGATTATTTTGGGATAGAGGAAGAATGTAGTTTCTTAAAATTTGCAATGGAGTATTAAAAAAGATACCCGCCTTAGATTTCAAATAACTGTCTCTATACTGCTCCATTTCATCCTAAAGTCTAATTCATTACAACAGAATAACATGTTCTACACTATTCTCTTGTTTTTTCTTTGACATATGAGTGCAGATGATATAAAATTGACTACACAAATTCATACTCGTGCATCATGGCCTTCTTCCTGCTCTAAATTGAAGCTTGGTAGAATATCTGTAGATTATGATAATATGTTCAAATTCAATAGATTGCCAAAATGCATTCCCTTCAGATCTGAACTTAGTGGTACTGACTCTACAAGTGCTGTCCCTCCACTTTCAGGTGCAATTTGAGGCATTTTCACCCTTTCCTTTTCTTCTTCTTTTTTTCCATTCAGATTTATGATATTTAGTTTTCACAAGTCTTCCCCTCTTACAGATATGCACCTGGTTTCAAAACTTCGAGGAATTTGCTTTTATGCTGCTACCTCTTTATCTGCCATTTTTTTGTTTGTGGCAATGGTTGCTGCACACCCTTTTGTTCTCTTATTTGATCGGTACCGTCGAAAAGCTCATCACCTTGTTGCTATGGTCTGGGCAAAATTGACAGTCTCCCCATTTTACAAGATTGAGATTAACGGATTGGAAAATTTGCCACCCAATTATGCACCTGCTGTGTTTGTGTCCAACCACCAGAGCTTTTTGGACATTTACACTCTCCTTACTCTTGGGAGAAGCTTCAAATTTATTAGCAAGACTGCTATTTTCTTATTTCCCATCATTGGCTGGGCCATGTATCTGATGGGAACTATTCCTTTGAGGCGTATGGACACTAGAAGCCAAATGGTGAGTCGTACACCATGCATGACACTTACTTGCTCTGTCCCATTTTGATGTCTTATTCGCGCAACGAGTCAAGATGGAAGTTGGTTATTATGCTTTTTTGTTTTTTTACATAATGTTACGCTTTGAGTTCCCCAAATTACATGGAATTTTCGGATCAAAGGAGTTTACTCAACTTATTTACAATTCATTTGTAATACTATTTAATTAGTTATTGCAATTAGAGTTAAGAGTGGTATATTTTTAATTTCATGCCACCAACCTCAATTAGTGTGAATCAAGAATGTGATGATGAAATTTTTTAAAGTTACACCAAAAGTTCTATTAGATCCAAGAATTGAATTTGAGCATGATTATGAATATATGATAACATCTGTTACAGACATTGAGGGAGTAAAAAAGAACTTTGTCTGTACATAAAGGGAAGTCCCCGTTTGGGTGGTTGTTAGTTGCCAGTTTTTTGTTTCTAAAATACTAAAATCATATTTTGTAGGCCAGAAAATCTGCTTTTCAGTTTTAAGCTGGTAGTTTTGACCTTTCAAAATTAACATTATTGGGATTTGTATGAGCAGTTTGTTTTATTATACAACATGTACTACCTCTGTTCTGGTGGACTTTGCCAAATGCAAAGTAGGTGAGAAATAAGAGAAGTAAAAACTGTGTGTTGAGATTTGTGCAGAGGAGAGAGAAATGTGCAGAACCACAAATTTGTTGCTTTAATTGGAAAGTGGCAAAGTTTTTTGGGACAACCAAAAGGGGAAAGTTGGCAAAATCCAATGGGACGGAGGGAGTATCATGTAACATTTGAAATTGTAAATCAAAACTTGTAACTCACAACCTTCCCAAATGAGGCTTTGAGGGAACAAATGGAATGACATGGATAGAGTTACTAACAGTTTAAAACTAAGTGAATAAAGTAGTTTGTTGACCAATGAATAGTAAGTAAGATGGGGCTGATAAAGTATATTGACTAGTGCCACCATAACTTAATCTTATTAGAGTAACTATAATGTATTGAAAAATCTTCAGTTTTGTTGTCATCCAAATACATTGTGCTCTCTTCCTCATTTCTTATGGATCCTATTTTAACTTTTTTATTTATTTAAAAATGATTCAGGACTGTCTTAAGAGATGCATGGATCTTATCAACAAGGGAGCGTCTGTTTTTTTCTTCCCAGAGGGTACTAGGAGTAAAGATGGAAAGCTAGGTGTATTCAAGGTAAGGTCTATGCTTTATTTCTGCATTATGAACATAAACAATTTGGGTAATTGACTGGTCATTAGGAAAGAGAAGGGTTTGTGTATGATTAGCATAGGCCATTAGCATTATAGTACATTCCTATTTCTCTCAATTATAGTCATCTTTCTACTTTTAGTCATCAACTTTGTTATCTTTCAAATTTAGTCTTCATTTTTTTCTGAAATATTATCATTTTTATTATTTTATTCCCTCCATCACACATAGAAAGATAAATTCGGGTTTGGCAACAGATGCATGGTTTTTAACAAAGTATGTATTTGTTCCTTCAAAAGTGTAGCCTCCATAAATAAAGTAAGAAAAAGTAGTATGATCCACAAAAAATAAATATGTAAAATGATAAGTGGTAAAGTAAAAAATTAGTGGAGTTCAGTTTAGGAAAGTGTTCATATTTTTTGGACAAACCGAAATGGAAAGCGTATCTTATAGAAGGGGACGGAGGGAGTATCAAATCTCCCAAGTGAGTCCAAAATACGTCCAAATGTACTTTGTTGCAATGTTATAAAATGCTCACTAAGTGATGGCAAATTGGGATAAAAGTTGAATGTTTTAAATAGTCGAGCACAAAAAAGAAAATTTTAGAGTTGAGGACCAAAAGTCAAAACACCACCACAATCAAGGGACCAAATGGAATTTATACTCTATAACCTCGTTCCTCTTCCACAAATGTCATTTAAATTTTCATATATTTGGATTTCACATGTTGGCTTTATTTGATTTGAAGAAACTACTGATTTTGTAAACTTTAGTGACCTATATTATACTCATCACCTGTTCTAACATGTATCATATTATCTTGTTATTATTTTGATACCTAGAAAGGGGCATTCAGTATTGCTGCAAAAAGTGGAGTCCCTGTTGTTCCAATTACCCTTATCGGAACCGGAGAAATAATGCCAGCAGGAATGGAAGGCATGGTAAATTACGGGACAGTTAAAGTTGTCATTCATCAGCCTATTGAGGGAAGTGATCCAGAAGTGTTATGTAGGGAGGCAAGGAATGTGATAGAAAATCAACTTGCACTCCACTGATGAGAGAGATATACATTGTTCTTTTGTTTCATTTTATTATCCAAAGGGGGTTTTGTCTGGGCTTAAAACTTTACTTCTGCACTTCTTCAAAGTGTAGAATGCTACCGGTTACTACTTCAAAGAACGACCTCCACATACTCTGCGCCAATGCACGTAATGCCTGCACGCCGGGCATGGTAGCCCTGACCATTGGATGGAGCTGCTCACACTGATTTAGGCGTGGATATGGTCCCTTCCTGGGCCAGATTTTCACGTAAAAAACAGGGGATCGAACAGGAATCAGAATTGACTGGTTGAATCATGATTTGGAGGAACAAGACAGGCATAAAGCCGAGTCAGGATCCCCCATTCCGGTTATAGAAAGTTGAAAATAATTGGCAGGTCTGGTCTCATTCTTGCTTGAAATCGGGACCTGCGTCCTCCCTTGTATGAGTAGGACCAGGTAGTTCAAATCCAATGGTTGAAATCGGGACCTACATGGGTAGTACCAATGTAGCCCGATTTCAGATCTCGTCTAACTTCTAAGAGGATATGATACTATACCCTAGAGATTTATAAACTTATAGCGAGGAGAACAATATGCTTGGAATAACGATTATTTTCGAATTCCACAGTTTGTCTGAAAGAATCGACTGGAATAAGGAATTAAGTTGTTAGATATCTGTGACTCTGTGAGACTCCCGCTCCCATAATTCAAGTGAATGACAACATAATAACTATTATGAAAATAATAACAAAATCAACGTTAAAAATTTAATATTGGAATATTATCATAAGATTAAGAGTACGTATAGTCAACAGTGGTATGCTGCTCTGTTGCTGTGCTTTTGTAAACATATATACTTGTACATCTTAAAATCACTGGTTTTTCGGTAATTTTAAATTCATTGTTGATCTCTTAATTAATTAATACGAAGTAGGTTAATACTACGTAAAGGATTACTCATTTACTAATAAGAACACAATAATAATCCCTCAATCTTTTTTTTCCTAGTTTTTTTATCCTTATATATATATGCATTATTTGCAGTCTTTTTATTTTATCATTTTTATATATATTCATCTTTTTTATATTATCTTTTCATAATAGCTTATCTTTTTATCTTTATTCCTTATTTTCCTTTTGATTGTGATATCATGTATCGATTCATGTTAAACGACCCCAATATCTTTTGGGACTAAGGCTTGGATGTTGTTGTTGTAATGTATTCATTTGGAGTTTTGGACAATAGAATGACAGATTAATTTTTGAAGTTAAGATTTAGGCCTTTTTATTTCAATATTACTAATTGAAAGACAAAAGTAGGCATGGACCTGGTTCCGGTTCGGGCTTAGGCCCGGCCGGGCCTCGGTTCAAGAAGGGGAGGCCCGGAACCGGCCCGGGTAACCCCCGGGTCCGGGCCGGGCCTCGGGTCTTTTTTTTTTTTTTTGGCTTTTCCTAGTTAACCCCCAACCCTCCCCCTCACCCCCAAACCAACCCTAATCACCTCAAATGGCCCAAAATACCCAGCCCAACCCAAAAACTTAAAAAAAATTCAAAAAAAAAGAAAAATTGGCCCGGCCCGGGCCCGAACCGGCCGGTTCACCTTTTGAAGGGCCTGAGCCCGAACCGCCATCCCACCGGGCCGGTTGGCCCGAACCGGACCCGGAACCGGTTCACCGGGCCGGGCCGGGCCCGCACAGTAGCGGGCCGGTCCGGTTCTGGGCCGGTTGGCCCGGCCCGAGTCCACCCCTAGACAAAAGACATTAATATGACTGTCTTTAAAGTTTCCACAAATGTGACCAAACAACTCTTTATTTAATTTCATACGGAGCATTACTTTTATTATTTTAAAATACATTTTTAATAATAAAGCTGTCATCCAACCTTGATTCACCCACCGCCGATCCCCCTCCTAGGAGTGGACCCGGGCCAGGCCAACCGGCGCGGAACCAGACCGGCCCGCTACTGTGTGGGCCCGGACCGGCCCGTTGAACCGGTTGGTGCCCGGTTTGGGCCACCCGGCCCGGTGAGGTAGGCGGGCCGGGCCCGAGCCTGCTAAATCGTGAATCGGCTTGGCCGGTTCGGGCCCGGTCCGGGCGAAAATTATTTTTTTTTTTCTTTTTTTTTGAATTTTTTTTAAGTTTTTGGGTTGGGCTGGGTATGATGGGCCATTTGAGGTGGTTTGGGGTGAGGGGGAGGGTTGGGGGTTAATTAGGAAAAGCCAATATATATATATAAGAACCGAGGTCCAACCCGGCTCGGCCTGGACCGGACCCGGGGTTAACCAGGCCGGTTCTGGGCCTCCCCTTTCATGAACCGAGGCCTGGCCGGGCCCAGGCCCGAACCGGGTCCGAACCCGAACCGGTCCACCCCTACCCCCTCCCTTGCCACCGGTGCTCCGCTCCCACCACCGGTGCTCCGCCTCCGCCGCCGGTGCTCTGCTCCCGTCACCGGTACTCCGCCCCCGTCGCCGGTGATAGTGACTATCAAGAAATTTAAGAAATTTAATGCACCGCCTGCACCATCGCCGCCGTCTCCCGCGCCTCCCCCACCTCCTTCACCAATCATAGTGACTCCGGCCGCAGTGACTCCTCTCATAGTGACTTAGAACGCGATGACTCCGGCCGTAGTGACTCCGCCCCGCCAGTGACTAGGCTGCCACAGTGACTCCACCGCCGTCTCATCCGATGATTGTCGCAATCTCGTCAAGTGATTGCCGCCACCCTGATTAGTGATTGCCGCTGCCCCTCGTCAGTGACCGCCGCTAGCCAACACCGGTCAGAGTGACTGCCTGCCAACTGCCACGATGACTGTCCTCCCACCGACCACCGTCACAGTGACATGTCATCTTCGGTGTCATGGCCCATCCCACATCCGGCCACCTCCTGCGACCACCATCGACAGACACCACTGGCACCACCACCGCCGGTGATCTGCCACCACCCTCAAATGACCAGCCCCGCCATATCACTGACCAGCCGCACCTGCCACCCTCCAGCGGCCACCCTCCCTAGCCCACAACCTCTCCTTCAGTGACCAAACCACCACCAGGCTCCAGCAAGCCACTCCCTGCCACCATACCGCAGCCCTTAGCCCGCCCTTTTCCCCTCCCCAACCTCTACCCCTCTCCCCGGCCCCCAATATTTTGCCTACCTCGCAGCCCCAGCCCTAACCCCCTCCCAAGTCTCTCTAGTACCCCTCGCTACCCTTGTAACTGCCAGCGTCAAGACAACAGATGCATGCTCGGAGAAGAGGCGTGTTGAAGGTGGCGACTCTCACAGTGGTGGCGCGGTGGCGGCAGTGGCGGACCCAGAAAGTCGGAGTTACGGGGTCCCTACCCTTTTATATCTCTAGTATGTAATTAATACGTAGTATAAAACTAAGGTCGTTTAGAAAATGAATTGACATAAATAATCGTTCGTTTAGAAAATTAATAATCGTTCATTTAGAAAAATAATATTTATGTCACAAATAGAAAAATAATATCCTATCATTATAGTATGTTTACTCCAATAACTTTCTAAACGAACGGTTATTTATGGCACCTTATAATAATAAATAGGGAAAATAACTTTAAATAATACAAACTATCTTCGATGAACCAATAATAATACATACTTTAGTGTAGAACAAAAACAAAATATAATGGAGTCACTTTTTTAAAAAAATCCACTAATTTAAGACATTAAAAACTAATATCGAACCAATAAATAATATTCAAAAATACGCTTACTAACTTTATATTTTGATACCAATTTTTTATGAATTAAATGACTAATGTTTTAGTAAAGAATTGTTGCGCTATGTATTAATGTTAGTACTATTTATGTTGTTTTCCATTGCCAAAAAAAGTTGTTTTCCTTAATATATAGGGGAAAAACAAAAAGGTCGTTTAGAAAATGAAGTGACATAAATAACCGTTCGTTTAGAAAATTAATAATCGTTCGTTTAGAAAAATAATATTTATGTCTCAGATAGAAAAATAATATCCTATCATTATAGTATGTTTATTTCAATAACTTTCTAAACGAACGGTTATTTATGGCACCTTATAATAATAAATAGGGAAAATAACTTTAAATAATACAAACTATCTTCAATGAACCAATAATAATACATACTTTAGTGTAGAACAAAAACAAAATATAATGGAGTCACTTTTTTAAAAAAAATCACTAATTTAAGACATTAAAAACTAATATCGAACCAATAAATAATATTCTAAAATACGCTTACTAACTTTATATTTTGATACTAGTTTTTTATGAATTAAATGACTAATGTTTTAGTAAAGAATTGGTATGTATTAGTTTTAGTACTAATTATGTTGTTTTCTCTTGCCAAAAAAAGTTGTTTTCCTTTAATATACAGGATAAAAACAAAAAGGGACGTCTAAGGGATTAGAACCCCTCACCTCTGTGAGCTGGAAAATTTTAAGTTTAAGCATGCACCCATTATTGCGTCGCCGACTTCATGTTCTTAAACAGCTTTCTACTTACATATACATTGTATTATTAATTTATATAAAATACACATAATATATATAGGTATTTTTTTGAAAATTCACGGGGTCCCGGGACCCCGTGGGACCCTTAGTGGGTCCGCCACTGGGTGGCGGTGACTCTCACAGCGGCGGGGCGGTGGCGGCAATTCTTTCAGTGGCGGCGAATCTTTCAGTAGCGGCGCACTTCCTGAGCTCCAGTCGCACACTCACAAGCAAGGTTGGGGATGAGATGAAATGGAAGAGCTAAATTAGGTTTGGCCTAATTTGGGCTTTTGATATTTGAGGACAAGGAATGCGAGAATGGAAGTGCGCAAGCAATATGACTTTTTTGTACAAATGAAATTTAGTCACATTTTTATCAAACAAAAGCTATTTAGTATTATTCTTGCCATTCTTTCTAAGATTTATATATATATATATATATATATATATATATATATATATATATATATATATATATATATATATATATATATATAGCTATTCACCTGAAAAGGAAAAAGGATTTTGCTTATTGATCACATGTTTTTTTGTGTGAACACCTCTTTAGTTTTGTTTGTGTCACAGACAAAAAACGGGCATGTAAACACCTGAAAAGTGTTTACAAAAAAAACGGGCATGTACACATGATATGTACAAATCGATGCATACAAATAGCAAATTTGTAGAAAAAATTCCAAAAATAGGAGTGTTGCCCCATAGGAAGAAAGGATGCAAGTGCGGGAGTGCGGGACCTAGGAAAAACTAATACTCACTTTGTGTCGTTAAAATTGTCTCATCTTATGCGTCTACTAACAGTGTCTCATACCAAATTTGGTAAAGTTTGTGTAATTCTAAATCATCTTTACTTTTGTGGGATTGAGGTAGTACCTTTCTTCTTTAAAGTGTTATAAAACATGAAATATAAAAAATATGTCATCGATAAAAAACATAAAAATTGAATCCCATATTTTTTTACACCAGAATGTTTGACATTTTAAAACATAATTATTTGCAAAAAATTGATTCATTATTCATAATAATAAAAGTAAGACTTTAATTGAAATAATAAATGTAAGACTTTAATTGAAAAAAAAAAGAAAACTATGCTAGGTGAATATATTGGTGGTGCTAGATTGTAGCAAAATCTTGAGTTGACTTAGTGAAAACGTATACACTTGTGGAGAATTTAATTTATTGACGCAGAGAGTTGCGGTTATCATAATAATAGATTATAACAAAATCGAATTTATCTGTCATCATTCCATTTTTGAGTTTTCTGATAAAAATAATTTTTCATGCTTAAACCTTATTTATTCTTGTAGAACTCTACATTATTAGATGAATTAAATTTGTTTCATTTAATTTTTTATTATTTTACTCGTCTCATTTTGATTGTCTTATTTTTCTTTTTGGTTCGTCCCAAAATTAATATTTTGGCTTTTCTTGATAAAAAGTATAATCTATGAGCCCGTTTGGCAGGATGAAAATTGGCTGTTCTGGCTGATTCTGTTGAAATTTATGAAGTTCTGACTGAAGTGGCTGCATTGGCCGATTCTGCTGATACAAGAAAAAAATATTTTTAAAATATATTTTATTAATAAAGTAAAGAAAAAATTATATGTAAAAATAGCTAAAATGGTCATCTACAGTAACTTCAGTTAATACAGCCAGAAAAGTAACTCCAACCTTACTTTTTCGACTTATTACACAATTTAGTGCGCGAAAACAAAATTTACGTGTTTGATAAATTAGTTGGCTGATAAGCCTGATAAGCCGAAAATGAGGGTTGCCAAACGGCCTCTGTATCATTTTACTTTATTCTATTCATACTTCAACTACAATTTTTACTTTTAGGCCATTTTATTAATAATGGTTCCATGTCAAAACAATTCATCCCAGGATCATTATTTTTTGTAATCTTGTACGAGTAGTTATACATTTTTGTTTTTAAAGTGTATGGAAATATGGAATCCATATATCACCCTGAGACTATGAAAAGACGAACAGTGACCATCCGCGACACGAGATGAAAAAGCTAAAGCTAATGGCGCCCCTCAAATGTGGGAAGCCAACGGCCAAGAAGAAAAGCGACGAAGCAAAGCACAGAGCATTTCGCTCTCCAGCTCACGTCCAATCCATTCCATCACAGAATCACACGATTACAGTTAGGGTAATCGTCGCCCAGATTGGGGTTTTCTCCATTTTCCATTCCCCCGCCGATGATGAAATGTGCATAGCCTCCTAGAAGGGGAGTCCATAGCAATGGTGAACACAAGTTATATACCGCATAACGAAACGGAGCTGATCAAGAATGGGCTTTTGGTGTGCCTTCCATTGCGCGATACCCATACCCGCAGTATCTTCTACGGAGACAGCCCTCTGGATCACACCATGCCCCTTATCTATGCGGAGCTCTCTGTCATCATTCTCATAACCCAGCTTCTCCGTGTTCTTCTCAAGCCACTCCGCCAGCCCAGAGTTGTCTCTGAAATCATTGTGAGTTCATCCTCGGAATTTTCACATTCACCGTGTCCTTTGAAGAATTATTACTGTGCACGAAAAGATGTACAAGCTTATTAGAATTCATAATTTTATCAAATTGGGCTATAATGAGATCACTGGAATAGAGAATGTTATCAACTTGTGTAGTTTGGTTGAATTTGGCGTAGTTTCTTATAGTATTATTCCATTGTTTGATTATGACCAAATTACCCATGAAGTCCAAGCTTGCATGGGAAACCATCTCCCTTCCCAACTTTGAATGAAAAGATGACCCTTAAGGCTATGCATGGAGCAAAAATTGTAGGAAAGGGAAGAAGATCCCAAGGGAAATAGCGATTCAATATTTGGATTTACATTGGAAAATATAAAGGAACATCAAGTTCCATAATCTCGTTTTTATATTTTGTTACATATAATTACATTTTTTAATCTTTATATAATAGAAATATCTAAATATGACTAGTTTAAACAATATTGAACACAGACTTATTGAGTTTGAACCATTTCCCCCAAACTTTTCCTCTATTTCCCTCTCTTTTTTTTCCTCAGCATCTATGGCTTTCAAATGAACCTTAAACGAAGCTGAGCAAATATTATTTAACTCTTAAAAGGAGAAAGATTTCCAATGAAAATTTATTCAAATCTACCAAACTAGAGAATTCCTTTAATTTGAGAATTTATGGGAGGAAGGAATAAGTGTCCATTTCCCATAAGGCCTTTAACTAATACTCCATCCGTCATATAAGAAACCTTTCACTTGTTTTTTACATGGAATTTTAGAAAGTGAGATTATGTGGTAGAAATTTATCAATAAAATGGAGCAGCAATTTCAACTTTATTTAGAAGATGAAGAGTTTACTTTGGGACATCCCAAAAAGGAAAGTGTGAAAATGAATTTGGGACGGAGAGAATAAATTGATTCTATCATTGCATATATCAGTGTTTCTAATGGATCTTTTTTTCTTTCTGCTGCAAGGGAGGGGTAATCATAGGGCCATCAGTTTTAAGCCGTAGCAAGAAATTTCGTGACAATCTTTTCCCAGAACGAGCTAAATTTATCACGAGAAATGTAGGACTTCTGGGGTTCATGTATTTCCTCTTCCTGTCTGGGGTCAAGACGGATTTGTCCCTTTTGAAGAAGGTAGGAAAAAAATATTGGTATGCAGCTGGAGTGATAGTTGTTCTTCCTTTGCTGTGTGTTATATTTGTTGCAATCCCTCTCAGAAAGTCAATGGAGAAAGAGGTTGCAAAAGTCTCTTCCCTTATTGGAATTGCTTCCGAGTTTGCAATAACATCTTTTCCTGTTATCTACCCCATCATCAAAGAGTTCAACCTCCTCAGTTCAGAAATGGGAAGGACGGCATTGTCCATTGCCGTTGTGAGCGATGTGATTGGCAACCAATTTTTACTAATATTTGACGCATCCAAACAAGGGGAAGCAAAGAGTTCAGCTGCTTATTGGTTCACACTTTCTACGATAGTTATGATGGTATCCGTCTTTATAGGTCTTCGACAAGCCATGATTTGGATAGTACGTATAACCCCAGAAGGGAAACCCGTTGATCAGATTTACGTGATTGCCATATTATTAGGAGTCATGGTTATTGGCTTTGTATGTGATTTTACTGGGATACCCATTGCCAACGGGCCCTTATGGCTTGGATTGGCAGTTCCTGAAGGCCCTCCGTTGGGAGAAACTATAGTGGAAAAGTCTGAGACGTTTATTTTGGACCTTCTAATGCCCTTTTCTTACGTATATGTTGGGTTGATCACAGATGTATCCACTATAAGCAGTCATTGGTCTATTTTGCAACCTCTTTTCATAATTGCTGTAGTGGGTTATATAACAAAATTGCTTTCTGTTCTGCTGATCTCTAGTTTCTTAAACATGCCACTTCGAGATGGTCTCGCTCTTAGCCTTATTTTGAGTCTGAGAGGTCAAACTGAAGTTTTGTTGTATATGCATTGGATCGAAGTAAAGGTAACCATTCTCACTTGTTTCTTCACCATTCTCCCCGCAAAAAAAAGTCATGCTTGACCATTGCACAACCTTACAACTATGTATATATAAAATTTATTTGTTGGTTCAACCAAATTATCACATGCAATTAACATATGCTATGATTTCACACGCAAATTATAATATGTTTTTCCCATACAATATTTGGTCATATATGTGTGGTTTAGAGTCATTCATACTTCCAAATTCATTATCAACCACATACTTCGACTTCTCTTTGAATTGCGAGCTGCCTCTCCGTCTCCGAAGCAGATTGGGATGGAGGGACTATTTGAAACATGACTTTTTTCTTTTGGGGAGAAACAGAGGAGGGATTTTTTTATATTTGAAAACTGTGTTAATTCTTAAATCTCTGTTGCAGATGATAACGCCTCCTTATTATGCAATGCTGGTGGTGATGACAGTGATGGTGACAGGCATAATCACGCCTCTGCTCAGTATAATATATGATCCAACAAGGCCTTACAGGGTTAACAACAGAAGGAATGTTCAGCACACAGCACCCAACTCTGAATTGAGAATCGTGACATGTATACACAAGGAAGAGAATGTTCCGGGACTGCTCAACCTCCTCGAACTCACCAATCCAACGGTTAACAGCCCTTTCTCGGTTTATGCAATACACCTAATCGACTTAATTGGTCGCGCCGTCCCTGTTTTCATAGATCATCACGCCGGTGATGGTCCAGCAAAAAAGAAGTCCAAAAAAACGGCTACTCAAAGCCCAATACACAATGCGTTGAAGCTCTTCCAGGAGGGTAGAGGTGAAGGAAACATCAAGATTCACCCTTACACATCCATCTCCCCTAAGAAGAGCATGTACCAAGACATATGCGAGCTGGCACTCACGAAGAAGGCCTCTCTCATCATATTGCCGATCCACAGAGATGTGGTTCCTGACGGGTTCCAAACTGTGAACTCTAGTGTACTGGCCCACGCCCCTTGCTCAGTTGCACTACTCGTCGACAGGGGTTTTGCTGATCAGAACCTTCGCACGAGGCAGCTCTCGAATTACCATTTCGCCTTCCTATTCTTAGGAGGAGCCGATTCCCGCGAGGCACTCGTTTGTGCCGACCGGATGGCTTCCCGGCCTGAGATCTCCCTCACGGTCATCCGGTTTCTCGCGCATAATGGGGAAGGGGATAACGAGATGGAAAAGAAACTGGATGATGGGCTGGTAACGTGGTTCTGGGTGAAGAACGAGGCGAATCGGCAAGTGGTATACCGGGAGGCGGTTGTGAGGAATGGGGAAGAAACGGTTGCCGCGATTCAGGCCATGAAGGAGGAGGATGATTACGATCTGTGGATAGTTGGAAGGAAGCAGGGGATTAATCCAGTGCTTTTGCAAGGGTTGACGAATTGGAGTCAGAACCATGAGTTAGGGGTTATAGGAGATTATGTGGCCAATACAGATTTAGGTGGTACAGCTTCTATATTAGTAGTGCAACAGCAGATTCTAAGAGGCAGGGAGAGTGCCTATAGTGCTTTAGTTGGGAAGTTTTCTTGGTGTTTGTAAGCATAGTATAGTAGTAAAGATTTATTACTCTGTAGATACCACTGTTAGCAAAATGAAACACAGTAATTGTTTTAGAGTTTGACTTACTGCATACTTGATGTAACATTTGCTCTCTGTTGTGCAAAGATTTGTTTCATGAGGTTGTTCTTTTTCCTTTACTGTAAGTTATGCTTGACTAAGTTGACTTCAATGAAGTTGACATCTTCTTGAAGGATTAAAGACCAGGCTGAACTAGATAACATTGAGGTACATTGTAGGAGTGAGCATGATCCTGGTTTTTAACTAAGAAAGGAGGATCTGGTTCATCTGTCCTGAAGTAGAACAGTAATGGTAACTGGTTATTTTCAGTCTTGTTCCAGCTCCTCCGAAATTGGGCTAGACATTTCTGATTACTTTTTTCCATGTTACGAAATCAGGTAGGAAAAACAAATGAGATGTTGTTCATGCTGGCAATAAACCGCAGGTTGTTCGGTTCCTGACATGTGGGCCCGGGGACCACCCGATTGATATCAAACTCCTCAACTGGCTAACAAACGCGGCTGCAGCCTGCTGTGGTTGTATAAAAAGCGGTAAAAAATGCATTAAGAAAAGCGCCGACTTATAGATAGTATAAAACATTTAAATATGTATACGTGTATGATGTGGTATTTGTTGCAAAAAACCGGACAAAAAATACGGGTCATGTTTTGAACATTTAAATTATGTACATCACAAAAAACCATAGGAAAAATTAAAAATAATAATTCCAACTATTGCGATCCGCTAATAATAATCCCAATTATTGATTATTATTGTATAATCCCAACTATATGGACCGTCCGCCAATAATGTTCCATGACCGCATATTACCTGCTCTAAAAAGTGAATTTTTAATAGAAATTAAGCGTAAAAATTAAAATTCGGGATTATTTATAGGGATTACCTGTTATATCTCTTTAAAAACTATATGAATTTAATTATAGTCGGTCACCTCGAACCATTATTGGCGGAAGGGCTATAAAGTTAGGATTATTCTGAAATAATCGATAGTTGGGATTATTATGAGCGGATCACCAATAGTTGAGATTATTACAATCAATTTTTCCAAAAACATATTATCAAAAGAAATAAAATTATACACATGCAAGATAACATCATCATCTTCACGTGATCATAAATAACACTCAAATTAAATTCATCATTTTAATCAGAAAACGGATCACATGGGAGAAAATTGTGGGACTACTATGTTCAAGGTTTATGTGTGTTTATACTGCTACAAAGACGTCATGTTAAAAGAAAAACCTTAATTTTGAGTCAGAAACCTAGTACTTCTTCCGTCTTGTAGAGAGGTTCCCGCGAGATATATGATATTTGACTGATCAGAAAGTTAACTTATTCCTGTCTATAATTAGATTTTTTTGGTAAATAAAATTTACATTTTCAGAAATTACATTAAAAGTTTTATAAAGCCGCAAAAGACTCTAATTTGATAAAGTTGGATATATAAAATAAAAGATTAAGAAGATTTTACGTTGACTGAAAAATAATGGGCGAGAATCTTTGTATGAGAGTAGTATTTTAAGATTTACTACGTCCGTCCCACTATGTTTGAGACAAGAGGGTGTGACACAACGTTTAAGAAAAAGTGGAATTATGTGGTTGATATTGAATTGATAAAATGTAAATAAAGTAAGAATGAATTGTAACCATCCAAATATTACCAAATATGTTACGGGACAAACTTATTGGGACGGATGAAAAACGTAAAAAGTGAGAAACTTAGGGGGCCGAGGGAGTAGTTTTTTAGAATGTTAGTTTTAGCTGTCATGCATTTAATTCTATTATTTAATTACAAAAACAGGGGTCACACGGATAAGGTTTTCCTTTTTTGTTTTACAAAAGGTTTTTGATTTTTTAAAAAGATATAACCTACTATAGGAGGGTATATTGAGAAATACTCCCTCCGTCCCTATATAAAAGCATCCATTCGTTTTCCACACATTTTAAGAAAATGAGTTTGGTTGGTACTGTTTGGCACTGTTTGGACACTGTTTGGCACTGTTTTGCACTGTTTTGCACTGTTTTGCACTGTTTTGTTTGCCAAAAAAGGAAAGGGAACTTTTATTTAGAGACGGTCCGAAAAGGAAACAGATGCTTTTATTTAGGGACGGAGAGAGTAATTAAAAAACTTAATTTTGGGATAATTCACACATCCTGACCGGACCAAGCATAATTCTAAATCAAGCGAACAAAAGGTTTTCGAAAAAACTTAATTTGACGCATGCATGCTGAGGCCAACATATTTCTATGCTTCTCATACTATTCATAAACAGTGTGAGAAAAAATCGAAAAAAACGTTTTTTAATTTTTATAAAGATATGACCGGGCCAACCATATTTCTATTATTCTCATCATACTTAGGGTTGGACTCGGGTCCGGGCCGGGTCCGGGTCGGGCCTAGGCCCGGGCGGGCCGGCGGGTCAGAAATGGTGGACCCGGGACCGGCCCGGGTAACCACCGGGTCCGGTCCGGGTCCGGGCCGGGCCGGGCCGGGTCCATTATAATTTTTTGTTTTGTTTTCCTCTTCCTAAGTAACCCCCCTCCCACCCCCAACCCCCAAACCACCCCAAATGACCCAAAATACCCAGCCCAACCCAAAACTTTAAAAAAAATTGCAAAAAAACAAAAAAAAAAATTGTTTTTGGCCCGAACCGGGCCCGGCCGGGTCGGGCCTTGTTTTGGGTGACCCGAGCCCGGACCGGAAAACCCACGGGCCGGGCCTACCCGGACCGGTCACTGACCGGGCCACCGGGTCGGGTCGGGCCGGAACAGTACCGGTTCCGGGTCGGGCCACCCGGCCCGAGTCCATACCTAATCATACTATTCAAGATCAGCGTGTGAGAAAAAAATCCAAAAAAATATTTTCGATTTTTAAAAAAGATTATGACCTGTTATAGAAGGGTACTTTGGGAAAGAATGAAATTTTTTAATTTCAGGAGTAATTCACAAACCCAAACCCACCCAATCATATTCCTATGCTATTAAAACTCAGCTTGTTAAAAAAAATCTATGAAGATATGAGATTAGGCATGATGACTTTGTAGGTTGTTCATTTGTTGACTTGAATTCCTTAGCATTGTTGTACAAATGGTGTGGCTGAATTTTAGTAGATTAGAGATTGAGAATAGATTATAGTTCACTCCATTTTTAATTAACTTAATTTCCTTTAGGTTTTTACTCCCTCCGTCTCATAAAATAAGTCTCATTTCAATTTGGATCGGAGTTTAAGAAAGTGATATTAAAGTGGAAATGTATGATTGTGGTTGAGTAAGAAAAAAAAATGAATGTTAGCCACACAAAACTTTTCAAAAAGGGAAATGTGAACCATTTTTTGAGACGACACAAAAAGGAAAATGAGACTTATTTTATGGGACGGAGGGAGTACATTTTAGCCATAAAGCTCGGACAGACTCGTGATAATGTCTTAGGGTCTCAAATCTCAATGTCTCATTTGTCATTTACTCAATTTATTTAGTTAGTTAATTTCCTGATTTTTAAATTATGTGAATAATGTTGGAAAAATGGTTTTACAAATTAATATTACTAATATTACTTGTGAAAAAACATTTTAAAATGAATGAGAAATTGTTCCCCGAAAGATACGCGTGGAATTATATTTAACACGCACAAACACTGCCGCCGTCAGTCGGTCGGATCGGGTCGGGTTTTGGGTTAGAGTCTTAACCCGTCTGCCCGAGTATATAGCTTAAAGATAATTCTATTAGTCACTCTCAATTTTAGATAATGTTTGGCAATAGACATATCCATTGGTTTTAGAAGGAGGACCACGACCTTTCTTTCTAAAGGTGTCTTTTGGGTGTAGAGTCTCCTGGCTAGAGCTCTGTATATACCCATGACTGCCAGCATTTTCAATTAAATCCGAAAATCATCACACAATCCTCTATACTCTCTCTTCCTTCGTTGCATCTTTGAGTTCGCCGGAATCCCGTTGGGAGCGAAGAACCGTTCTATCCTCGGAGATGATTGCTACGTGTGTCGGGAAAAAACGTCTTAAGGAAACAACGCTTAAGTTGTATGATTAAATAGACGTACATGCTCCAATTCGATGTTTTCATTATACTGCCTATTGTTTTATTTGGGTGTCCCCAACACGGATTTTAAATGATTTTAAAGGATCGTAGATTCTATGGATTTTAATGGAATTCTACAAATTCCATAAGATTCATATGGAATTCTATGGAATTCTATTTAATGAAATCATGTGGATTTTAATGGATTTTAATAGATTTGAAATACAAGCCGGTGAAAACCCTTACCCTAATCCCTGATTTGGACGTGCCATAATAAACAAAAGATATAAAATGAACAAATGTAAACCTCGACATTGACCACCTGTGATAAATAAAAGAGAAAAGCCACAAATTCACCAAACTTGTTTAGTTTTATTTTTAATTTTAAACTGCATCTATTATCCAAATGCAAAATAGAAACATAACAAGGAAATGGATTATAAACGAATACACTAAAAAATACATTGAAATTGAAACAAATATGATCCACTAGAAACAAGGAAGGAGACATGCGGTTCGTGAGTAGGAGACGTATGAATTGTTTGAAGGATGAAAGGGATAAGAGGATGAGCGTGAACAAATCAGATATCTTCAGGAAATCCGTATTCCCAGCAACTATGTTTGATGAGATCTTCGTTGGTGAGGAATCGGTTGAAAAGATTCAGGCCAAAGATTCAGCTCCCTGGTTGGAAGTAGCGGCCAATTCCCAGCAACTATGTCGCAAGAAGAAGAGGAGATAAAAAAATGGAGAAGTGCAGGATGGCTTCCGGATTTGAAATCCGAGGGGGGTTCATGGGATTGTGCATGGAATGGTTTGTGTGTTAATTTGTATAAGAAATCTATCAAAGTCAGCTCAAATCAATAATAATAAAATCCATGGAATGATTGTGGATAGATAGATTTCAAAAGAGTCTATAGAAATCTATTTTGAGGACACCTGGATTGTCATGGAATTCTAAATTCTTTTAAAATCCTTTAATTTGTCTGCTGTTATGAATTTTTGCATATAGTCACATTTGTTGTATAATCATATTGCTTCTGCTTCAAATATTTTGAATTATAAATTCTTATATACTTTGTGTATATAATTCAGTTA